TGTGTGTGTGTGTGTGTGTGTGTGTGTGTGTGTGTGTGTGTGTGTGTGTGTGTACACTTATTACTCATGTACTTCTCTGCTTTTAGAGTCATGTTTACAACAGTCGGCTCCACATCAGGTGCTTCAGTCTCTAAACCTGCTGGTTTTACTGTAAGGATATGAGACAGTTGGTCCACAGCAATGATTGTCTGGCCCAGGTCTGGTTCAGTACTGGCTCAGGTCTGGTTCAGGTCAGGTCCAGGTCAGGTCCAGGTCTGGTTCAGGTCTGGCCCAGGTCAGGTCCAGGTCTGGCTCAGGTCTGGTCCAGGTCAGGTCCAGGTCTGGCCCAGGTCAGGTCCAGGTCAGGTCCAGGTCTGGTTCTGGTCTGGCCCAGGTCAGGTCCAGGTCTTGTTCTGGTCTGGCCCAGGTCAGGTCCAGGTCTGGCCCAGGTCAGGTCCAGGTCTGGTTCAGGTCTGGCCCAGGTCAGGTCCAGGTCTTGTTCAGGTCTGGCCCATGTCTGGTCCAGGTCAGGTCCAGGTCTGGCCCAGGTCAGGTACAGGTCTGGCCCAGGTCTGGTTCAGGTCTGGCCCAGGTCAGGTCTGGTTCATGTCTGGCCCAGGTCTGGTTCAGGTCTGGCCCAGGTCCAGGTCTGGTTCAGGTCTGGCCCAGGTCAGGTCCAGGTCTGGCCCACACAGCACCCTTACATTCACCTCATCCCAGACCAAGGTCCTGCCTTACAGAACCAACAGAACCACATCATGGAGCAGAACTGAGACTCTGAGGCTGTCGAAGCAGAGACCCTCCTCTCCATGACGAGTCCTGAAGAGACCTGTCAGATCAGAACAAGTCGACTCGTATTTTTTCTGTAAGAATAAAAAGCTTCAGGTTATAAGAAGTAAAGCAGTCACTGTGATCCGCTCYGACTAGCCATTAGCTCATCAGTCTGGTCAGAATTAACTGAAGGTGATCAAAGCGTCATGCATGACAGGTAAGATATTTTCTATTCAGARCRTCACTTCAAAMGATCTGAACTGTCCCTTTAAAATCCATTCAGTCGTTCCTTTAGTTTCAGTGGTTCAAGGAGATATTTTACTGACAGACATCAGTTCAACTGAGAGCTGCACCTGTGSCCCGCTGCACTTCCTGCCAGACTTTCAAATTAAAAGTATTTTATTTAAAACATTGTGATGATTCTCAGTTACTACCACTCCAGGCCATCTTGGATTGGCTCCAGAAGTTAATGACGTAAAGAGAAACATCAAAGAGTTACTTCCTGAAAGTTTCCTTACAATCGGACATGGTGACTCGTCAGATATTTTGCTAACAGACGCCTGATGATGAGTCTGAATATTTAATGGTTGAGTTTTAAACTGAAATGTTGCTCAATAGGTCAGAGCTCAGAAGCAGTGATGGGGATCACTCTCAGCTACYACCACCACAAGTTTCAGCTTGTTTCCTGTAAACAGGACTGGATTTCAGCTGTTTTTTGGGACTGTAAATTTGACTGKCTCAGGCGGCCATCTTGGATCGGTTCGGCTCCAAAATGAAATCAGCTGTAGCTGAAGATCCAGGGATCAGATCCTGAGAGGTTCACCAGAACCAGTCCAGCGGGTCGGCAGATATTCTGCTAACAGACGGAGTGTCGGGTCGGTGTTGGTCGCTGTGAGTCATCGTGACATCATGACGCTCCTCTCTCCTCGCGCCGGTTCTCCCCGAACCCAGCTGCGGACCGAGCGGATCCCTCCCGGTTCGGTCCAGAGGCTCACCCGCTGACAGCCCCCTGTCCGCTCGAACCGACCACCGGGAACCCGCCCCCCGGACGGATTCCATCAGAACCGGAGCTGACAGTCTGCGCAAAGTTCCGGTTCGGTTCGGCTCGGTTGGTTCGGGTCTGRGATGTAAAGATGAGTAACGAGAGCAGAGAAGTTGGAGGTTTTCAGCCTCTGTGGAACTTCAACGGTGAGTTCGGATTAAAGCTCAGTTATTTAGTGACAGAAAGGTTCTGATCCACAAACAGAACCTGCTGCTTTGTTTTTATATGAGCGGCTTTAAATTTAATCTTAATTTTATTTATTAAACTCTGATCAAATAAAAAGTCCAAAATATAAAAATCCTCTTGGTTTGTTTTAAAGATCAGATCTGATGGAGAAGTCAGCCGGATTATTA